ATGACCTTGACCTTTGACCTTGAACAATTTTCAAGGTCAAAGGTCAAGGGTCACAATGCAATTGACCCCATGCTTCTAGGTCTTATAGTTTTCAAGTTATAAGGTTTTATATTAAGTACAAAGAAGTTAAAGGGCAATAACTTATATAAGGGGTCATCAGATCCTTTTGCATTTATACAGTTAAGTTAGGACTAAAGATCCTTTACACATTAGTGAAGGTTTGGTGCCTCTGGGGTCTATAGTTTGGGAGGAGTAGCGATAACAAGGTTTTTTGCACAAGGGGCAATAACTTTTAAAAGGGTTAATTTTAGGGGACAAGAAGGAAATCCTTGAAATAGTTTTAAGAGTGCATATCAATGATACATAGACATTGAGTATATGTTGAAAGACAAAAGAGATATAAAAAGAGCTGAATTTCTCATTTTTGAAATGACCTTGACCTTTGACCTTTACACAAATGTTAAGGTCAAAGGTCAATAAATCTTATGCAGTTGGTCCCATGTCTCTATGACTTCTTATTTTGAAAATTTTAAATTATTTCTAAAATTCATAAAGTTTCAGGGGCAATAACTCATTGAAAGGGTCAAAGAATGCTTTCGCAATGAATAGATTGAAGAGTCTCCTAAATTAGTCAAAGACATTGGTGAAGGTTTCATACCTCTACGGTTTACAGTTTCGAAGGAGTAGCGATAACAAGCATTTCTTGCGAAAGGGGTCGTAACTCTGAAAGGGGTCAAGGTTCATTTACGCAGGGTCAACTGCAATAATCTTTTACAAAGTACATTCTTATGGACTATAAATCTTTTCGATATATCTTGAAACTCAAAATCACACGGCGGAAAAATAAGAAGAACTAGGAGACTTATTGTTCAAAGAACAATAAGAGGTCTTTCCAGCTTTTTAAGTGTTTCCGTGTCATTTGGGTTGAAAAAAAGAAGAAAAACGCCAATTAAAAAAAAAAAAAAAAAAAATTAAAAAGTGCTGCCAGCAGGATTCGAACTGAGGACCCTCAGATTGCAAGGCGAACGCTCTATGCACTACGCCACAGGCTCCGATGAAGTTGGTTTCCGTAAACTAACAGTGTAGAAAAAAAGAAGAAATGAAAACACGTGGATTTAAATAAAAATAGAAACGCGTGAAGTTTTAAATAGTACAGAAACACGTGTATTTATTTGTTTGTGATGGAACATAGGGAGGAATAATGAATAGTTCTAAGAAAAACGATTGGTGGATATTGAAAATGGAGATTTCCTGTAAAAAAAAACATTCGAGTTTGTTTATAGTTTGAATAGATTGAGTTAATCATACAGAGCTTAAGATACATTCGAACTTCCGTGTCGGCACTGTGTTTACAATTTGTGAAAATATAGGCGCGTTTGTTTTGACAGATATGGTGAACTCATAGGTTAGATTAAATAATCATCTCTATTTGGATTGAATTAATAGTTATGAGCATAAATTAAACTTGAAACATGCATTTCATGAAGAAAACGGTGTCAGCGAGAGCGTGGAAATTTATTTGATAGGAAAAATCCCTAATTTCGAGATTCATCCGATTAATATGAAATCTTAATAAATTTCAAATAAATTCCACATTCTAAAGAGAACAAGAATACTTGGTATTAAAATGTCGTATTAGAGCAGGAGAATCAAATGCTATTAACAAAAACTGAAGAAATAGCCAAGGCAAGCTTTAATTAATTTTTATGCTCATCAGCACTTAAATTTTAGACAGAAAAAAAATGTAGGTTTCGCCGATATTGAATAGAATTTCATTATACTTAAGAGACTCACCGTAAAACTCTCAGGACACTTTCTTTGAAGTATCTTCTACATTTTAATCTGAATTTCATGTCGATGTGTGATCTCCTTTAAGCTGTACAAAATTTGTTTACGTCACTATTGATTTTTTTTTTTGAGAAAGAAGGGGGGGGGTTATAAGCATTTGTTTAAGAGAGAGTTGTAAATACCTCCAAGACCTTAAGCTTGATTGTGACCTTTGGGTCAATGGGGTCAAAGGTCAAGGTCAGTCATCAAGGTCAAAGGTCAAGGTCATCTAAAAAAAAAAAAGAAGAAAGAAAAACACTTACAGACTTGAGTTTTACACTTGAAGCTGAATCTAGGTAAAGGTTATGAATACATGTATACCTTTTTAACTTTTGAGAAAAGGTCAAGGTCTAAGGTCAAGGTCAAATATCAAGGTCAAAGGTCAAGGTCATTTTATTAAAAACCCGTAAATAAGCAATTTTGATACTTCCCAATGACCTTGACCTTTGACCTTGACCTAATATTCAAGGTCAAAGGTCAAAAGATCTGATGCAGTTGGACCCATGTCTTTACGACTTGTCGTTAAGAAGTTTTTAGTTCTTCGTAAACATCATAAACTTGCAGGGGCAATAACTACTTAAAAGGGTTTAGGAATTCTTTCGCACTAATAGAATGAGAAGTGTACTAAATTAGTCGCAGACATTGTTGAAGGTTTTGTACCTCTACGGTTTACGGTTTCGGAGGAGTAGCGATAACAAGGGTTTACACTGAAAGGGGCACTAACTTTTAGAGGGATCAGTCTTAGGGGACAAGCATGGAATCTCTGAAATGGGTTTAAGAGTACATACTAAAAATACAAAGATGTTTAAAATTTGGTTAAGAACAAAAGAGCTATAAAAAATGCTTAATTTTACATATTTTGAATGACCTTGACCTTTGACCTTGACCTAGATTTTAAGGTCAAAGGTCAACAAATCTTTTGCAGTTGGTCCCATGTCTCTACGCCTTGTCGTTCAAGAAAAGATCTTGATATTCGTAAACGTTGCAAACATTCAGGGGCAATAATTCAATATAGGAGTTTACGAATCCTTTCGCAATGTTTGATTGGAGAGTCTACTAAATCAGTCGTAAACATTAATAAAGGTTTGGAATCTCTGCGGTTTATGGTTTTGGAGGAGTAGCGATAACAAGCTTTTATTGCGAAAGGGGTCGTAACTCCGAAAGGGGTCAAAGCTCATATACGCAGGGTCAACTGCTAAAATCTTTTACGGAGTACATTCTTGTCGACTAAAAATCTTTTCGATAAATCTTGAAACTCAAAATCACACGGCGGAAAAATAATAAAAAAGAAAAAAAAAAACAGAAGAAAATCAATAGGTCTTTCCAGAGAAAGCTGGAAAGACCTAATAAGAAACAGAAGAATACCAATAGGTCTTTCCACGGAAAGGTGGAAAGACCTAAAAACAGTAGAATCACTATAAGGTCTTCCGTCTGAAACGGAAGACCTTAATAACATGACATAGAAAGGCGAAAAGAAAGTCATTTACATTTTCGATTAAAAACAGAGGTAGGAGACCCTAAGCAGGTATTTCAACCTTTTCTATTAAAAGATGCATTATATATATGAATTACAGATGCTAATATTACGTAACAATCTTTTTCTGTTGTCCATTACATTTTGCCCAAAGACATCCATCGATAAAATAAAACTTCAACAGACCGTAGAATAAAAAAAAAAATACACAAAATTATGGCATACCTATTTTTTTCACAAAATAAAATGAAATATGATTATGAACAGGGAGTTTGAGGTAGACAATACTATATTGTATTTCTTTATTTAAATATTCTCAAAATAACATTTCATCAAAATAATAATGACTTTCAAAACTTCCACGTACTAATTGTAAGTGTTTATTGCGATTTAATACTTCGTTCAGAGTCAGCGAACTTAGAGTTGCTGATTTCTATTTTCTATTCTTGACTTAATAAACATCTACAGAATGGAGTCATTTTGCATAACATTGACTACCTCAAATCAACAGTGACGTTCGTATAAAGTGTAATTAGAAAACAATTTTACTCTAGGATTAGAACCATCCTTTTAAGGACTCTTGTTTATAAGATACTGACACAGAAGGCAAGGATCTCAATCAGATGTTTACACAGCCCATAAAAATAAAATTGCTATCCAGTTAATTGAGGAAAGACGTTAACAACATAACCATGCAATGCCTTATATAAAGCCGACACAACGTACCAAACTTTGCAGTTGAAATATTGATTACTCACTTTACATGAAATAAACATAAAAATTAATTATTCTGTCGGACATTTCGCACCAAATGAAGTACATCGGGTTCAAGAATCAGGATAAAGTGAGAGAACAGGAGGAATCTACAATGTAAAATGGGTAACATTTATATGCCTTACGTACTACCCAACATTTTCTAGCAAAAAATGTTTGAAAGTGATATTTTGATTTTTCTTTAACATGGGTACGTTTTGTTTTTTTGAAAATACACTAAAAGAGAGTAATTTGACAAGAGACGGCTTTTCGTGATGGTTAAATCAAATGGCCCAAGAATTTACTATACCTTTTGATGTTTTTGTTTATTCTTAAAAATGAATTTTTTTTCAGCTTACAAACATTCTGATCAAAGAACCTGAATCGTTTCAACAAATGACGGATAAATTTAGTCATCAAGAAAATAAAATTCTGAGAGAGAAATTGATATAAAAGAACTTTACGACTATATTTTTGTAACAGCAAGGCATTTTCCGTGAATATAGTCCGAAAATATTAAAAAAAAAATTTCCTCTGTGAAGAAACAGAGCCGAAAATGGCAAGACATTAATGCAATATAGCATGAAGAATAAAGTTAATTTAGGTACTTTTTCATCAAAATGACAATGTAAAAAAGCATTATAATCTGAAGTATGCATTATTTATATTTTTCTGAACAGCTCCACAATTGAAATTTAATGTTCAATCTTCCTCTGTTTGGAAGAAAGAGAAATATCTAGAGGAGGCTGTTTCAAGGATTCATATTTTATCAACACAGTTCGGTAAAATCTAGAATTAGAAGGAAGGATAATTAACGGTCATCCCCAGATGGTGCTACATCAGTCCTGTGTGTTTTAATCAGGGCCAACCTTGTCAAAATATTGATCAGAATATACATATATGACAAAGATTCCCAGCAGACATGAGAGACGTCGTCGTGTGATTCTGACATCTGATGCACAATGAACGAGAGAACCAGAAAAACGGGGATCGTGGTTGAAAAGTTTAACGAAGCCTTCTACGAATCCACCATTTTTCTCCGTATCAGCTTCTTTTCCGCGAGTATCACCCTCATCATATTTGTTACAGGATTTTTTGCCCCGTCTTGGAAATATTTAGAGTTTACTCTACAGTTCAACAACTTAGACACAAACGATCCCTCCATCTTGGATCCTGGCGATCCTTCATTGTTTGAAGATTCCAGTTTACGTCTTAAAGACGTAGCCTCTGAATTTAATTCATCAGTGTTGTACGAAAACTGGAATGAGGAATATAACTTAACTTCTTATTTCGAAGATCTTGCAGAGTATTCTTTGAACACAATGAACTTTTCCAATACCTCCAGTGAATTATTTTACTCTTCGTTTGATACTTTAGAACTTTTCACTGCACACATTGTCATTGGACTATGGGAAACGAGGGTCTGTACCAAATTTCTCGCAGAAGAAAATTGCATCCCACCATTCAAAACTCAAGGTAAAGTTTGAAAAAATTACTTGTGTATTTTTTTTCTCTCTTTCTTTATCTATTTCTCTTGTTGTCTAGCTTGCAGCTATTCGACTTCCAATGAAGAATTCTTCTTGACAGCAACTAGAATTTATCTTTATGTCACATGCTGACTGACGTTTTTCATACAATCTTTAGTTCATTATTTACTCACTGAATTGACGACAGATTTTTAAGTTATTGCCCGATCATGACATGGAGCACCCGGCTGTTGTGACCGATTGGCAGGGGATGCTCATTCTTCCATGGCACCTGATCTCCCTCTGATGTTTCCGAGGTTCATGTTTGCTCTGCTCCTATTTTGTGATGTTTAATGGACTTTTGAACTTATGTATCGGCCACAGAACTTACGAAATGATGACTTTAAACCATACTACTGATATTCTTGTTTCATCGACTTGTTTGTCAAAACTTAGGACTTTTCAACTTTATACACAACCATTCCCCATGATAAATTTAAGTCCGGATCCAGGCTTTTCGATATCATTGACAGCTGCTTTTTCAATAAAAATGGAACTCGAAAGTTTATTTACCGTGTCATTGATCATTTGCACAATTATTTTGTTAAAAAAACATTCTGATTGTACACACAAGTACTCTGAAGTCGACATCAAAAACATGCTTGAGTTTCTGATAAACAATATCTATGTTGTTTTTGGAGAACAGGTCTTCCAACAATCTATTGGAATTCCCATGGGTACCAATTGCGACCCGTTATTAGAGGACCTATTTTTGTTATCATATGAAGCATAATTTGTACAAATCTTATGCGTGAAAAGAAGAAAACACATGCTGTGGCCTTCAATTCGACATTTAGATATATCGACGACGTATTGTCAATTAACAATGCTTATTTTCATTCCTTTGTTGATACGATATACCTGTGAGCTTGAAATAAAAGATACCACAGAGTCTGACACATCTGTTTCACATTTATATAGTTTACTTAAAAAAGACGTTAATGGTAATCTAACAACCAAGCTCTACATGTATGATAAACGTGATGACTTTAACTTTTCTATAACTTTTCTAACGACATAATAATGGAAATAACTATTGCAAGTGTAAATATAAATAAATGCCGTGTAAGCAAACACGAATAAAGGAACCGGACTTTATATGTGAAACATACCACATATTTGTCAAAAATTAACATTGGAAATGCTTACATAAATGTTCTCAATTGTGTTTTTGGCAAGCCAACTTCACAATTAGTGTAAAAATTTTAGTCCCTATCTAAAGAGAAAAGTTCATTTCAAGCGATCAAATAACATTACAATTCCTTTTTAACTGTACAAGTACAGAAAGTAAATTGAGCAAACTGATTCTGGAATGAAATTATTATATGATCCTCATTCGACTGTAATAAAAACCATAATTGCATAAAAAACACATTTTGATTCAAACGCTTGTGTAATTTTAATCAACAGTCGATGTTTCACGATAAGGTAAGTTATAAGATGCAGTACACTGTACAGATACTTTTTTCATCCATGCGTGTGTGAAAATTACAGCAAACATGTCTGCTGCAATTTATTCATCACTAGTGTTTAATCCTGAAGAAAAAAGCATGAGTAGCACTGTGTACATTCTCTCTGCAAATAACGAGGAGCTGTTGGCACTCATCCTAGCTTTGACACTGCAAAAAAGAATTGAGAACGTGCCCGCGGTCATGAATCAAATTTAACGCCCATTTGTCCAAAATTAGTATTTAAACCATGGCCTTACAATTAGAATGAAATTTGGCAGTCACAGTCAAAATATGACCCATTGTAAGATTTTACATGTAAACAACCATATAATGTACCCATTGTTACCTTCAAAAAATGTTGTAAGCCCTGTAACTTCAACTTATTTTAGTAGCCTTGGTTCAAAACTTCATCGTTCCCTTACATCCCTAATTAACTGGGGGACAAAAATGTTAGAAGCAGATGATGGTGAAAAGTTGACAAAAGGTTAAGTTAAGTCGTTCCTTTTGTCAAATACAAATGTAGTAAAGTAGTTAGATGACCATCAATGTCTATAATCAGTTAAACTCCCAGATATGTAGTAAAGTTTCTGATGTGCTCTTATTCAAGTTTACTGTTCAAATGAAAGACCACACACTCTTTCAATGGGAATAATTAATGGGAAAATATTAACTCATCAAAAAATCTTCTAAAACTTACTGAACATTTGAAGACTTAATTACTGGGTGTAAAGTAAAGCTTATTTAATTTTATTTTAATGAATAGATAAAGCTTTATCGGCTGGTAAGGCACCAAAAAAGGACAATGTTAAACCGAGAAATAAAAAATAGGAAATGTATTTCAAAAGTTTTTATATATATATAAAACAGAATGGTTGATACGAACTGGTTTTCAAACCAAGTGTAAGACCATTATTTACACACTATATTGTCATCAGATTTTTCGTTATTTCCCATTCTGACAAGGAGTAATGTGTGACCGGTCGGCAAGGGTTGCTTCTTATTCCGCGGCATCCGACCCTACCTCTGATGATTTAGAGATCCGTGTTTAATTTACTCTAATGCTGGTTGTATTGTTTGAATTGACTTTTTATCATGAGTTTGAATATCTCCATATCTTTTAATTATATATGTTATTTGAGCTCACTGGAAGATATCGAAAAGGCATATGAATGAAGCAACTATTGTTAATTATCAAAAATTCAGTCTATATATTTGATTACGTCTTGAGATGAAAGCAACAGCATGCGCTTTCTTCTTTTATCAAGAAGTTTTTAATTAAATCTGCTTCATAAGAATATAAAACTTATCGGCAATAAAGAAGCAGAATAAATGCTCAACTGAATTCAGACTGATTTTTTGAAGACCTGGTTTCCGAAAACTACATAGATGCATAGGGAAAATATCTTTTTCTCGAAAAAAGTTAAATTACAGTGAGTCATATTAATATGAAAGCACCCAAAGAAAGACTGTGAACTTTAATTTTCGAGGCAATAAAACTAATTTTAGATATTTAAACAATCTACTAGTATTCACAAAGTCACAATAAAGTTTTTTTTTAGTAAATTCTGATCTATCAACTTAATTCTAAAGGTTCCTCTACATATTCCTTTGCTAATAAATCAGCCAATTCTTGGCTAAGAGTAAGTCCTTGGGTCATAATCAAACAAACTTCACAGAACACTATATGCATGCATATAGATATGATTTGCTTGGGAGATACAATGAAAAAAACCTTTATATTCTAAGATTTCAAGCTCACTTTAGCACCGAGAACATAAAGAAGTACCATGTTGGAAACGTGATAACCAAATTGGCGTACAAAAGGTTTAACTCTAACAAAGCCAGAAAAAAAAAATTAAATTCTATTGATAAAATTAAAAACGAATAAATACCATGTATCTTTATATTTTACAGTTTACTATTTTAAATTTACTTACATGGGTTATTTGCAACATTATTTTGTTTTAAAAACACTTTGATTGTATACACAAATGCTCCGAAGTTGTTATTAAGATATGCTTGAGTTTCTGATTTACAATATAAACAGTGCGTGTACATTTGATACGCATAGATCTGATTAGCTTATTTTAACAGTAACACCATATTTAGTAAATTAGAATTCCATTTTAGATACATGTCTATACAGACAAATAAAGACCAAGTTTTAAATAATTCTGTCGGAATTCCTATCGCAGGATACCAATTGCGTCCCTTTTTCGGTAGACCTATTTTGTGTACTCTACTAAAGCAGAATTTATTTTAAATCATAAACACGAGGAGTACTTCCTGTAGCCTTCAACTAGATATTTAGATATGTGGACGACGTACTTGTCAATTAACAATACTTACTTTCGTGCATTTATCGCCTTTATTTATCCCAGTGAGCTTGAAATGAAAAATATCACAGAGTCTGGCATTTCTCTTTCTTACAAACGCAATTTTTAGCTCTTATGAGTGAAAGATCTCAAAGAAGTGCAAACAAATATGTGAAGAACATTGACCCCACCATCCCTGTCATATGTTAAAAGAGAGAAACAGACTACGTCATCGTATTCTTCTTTTCTTCATTTTTTTTTAAAATAAAGAATATGGTACATGTATAACGAAAAGTATTCAATATCAAAGTCCATAAAACAATACAAAATAGGATCAGAGAAAACACGGACCTCCATAACATCAGAGGTGGGATCAGGTGCCATGGAGGAGTGAGCATCCCCTGCCGACCGGTCACACCCGCCATTTGCTCCTTGTCATGATCGGGAAATTAATCTGTTGTCAATTCAGTGTATAAATAATGGACTAACAATTAGTATGAAAAACGTCAGCCAGCATTTGACTCAATGATGAATTGTATTTGCTGACAAGATCATTGTATGGGCCATAGAACTCACAAAATCATGACTTTAAACGGAACTGCTGAAATTATTGTTTCATAAACTTGTTTGTCAATAATTTACCTCGTTTTAGAAATTGTTCATACGAAAAGCATGCTCTATAATCAACTGAGATATTTAAACTCCGTATGCAGGTGATGAAGGTATATTGCTGCATAAGTAAGGGTTGACGATAGAAAAGTTAAAGTCATCACGTTTATCATAGAGCTTGGTTGTTAGATTACCATTAACGTCTTTTTCAAGTAAAATATCCAAGTATGAAACAGATGTGTCAGACTCTGAGGTATCTTTTATCTCAAGCTCACCAGGATATATCGTATTGTCGTCGATATATATATCTAAATGTCGAGTTGAAGGCTACAGTAAGTTTTTTTTTTTCACGCATAAGATTTTGCACAAATTCTGCTTCATGTGAATACAAAAGTAGGTCTGCTAATATCGGGGCGCAATTGGTACCCATTGGAATTCCAATAGATTGTTGGAAGACCTGGTGTCCAAAAACCACGAAGATATGGACAATCAGAAACTCAAGCATCTTTTTAGTGTCAACTTCATGCGTAAAAAGGAATAGCTTCTTAACATCTGAAGATTTATAACATTTAATTTTGTAACAAACTTATTTAGGCCATTGGAATACCGTATAGCGGGTTTTTTGGCGGATGTAAAATTTGCTGTTTTGCCTGCACTAAAGTATGCCAATAATTTTGGCGTAATTCATTTTAGCGGACGTAGGGTTTAAGCTCTATGCAGAGTTCAGACAATTTTAGCAATTAAAATTTCAGCAGACTATCATCAAAACGCCAAAATAAGCCAAAATTAGCACCCCGCTAAATTAACCCGCTATACGGTATAAAACATAGTTATTTAATAAATAATGTATCCAGCATTGAGACAATCCAATGTCAATGCTTTCGAACATTTCATTTGGGAACATCCCCCCTTTTTTTTCTTTTACAAAAATTGATGGTCAATTTTTAGCATGTTTTTCCTAGATTGAGATAATTTTTTTTTCATTTTTCTATCTTTCATGCGGTAAAAGTGTCTATCGTAAAAATAATTAAATTACTTTGAAGCAATGGGATGTGGATGTTATCTTACCAAATCAGTTAATTGATAAAGGTTATTTTTCCTATTAACTAATCGAATCTAATTATTTTTGCGCCTGTGTCGGACTAATTCGAGAAAAAAAATTAGATATGTTTATTGGTTCTTTGAATTAAGAATAATACCTCAGAGAATAACTTGGTAAGATGTTAACTTGGAAGAAAGATTGCATTAGATTTTATTTCCAGGGATAAACTACATATAGTGATTGGATTCTAAATTCTATAAATAAGGTTCGCTGAGGGAAAAAACTTTAATTTTGATTTTGGCTATAAATTCTGTGAAAACTTTATTGTTTGCAATTACTTGTTTGTTGTAAATGTAACTTTAAATTAAAGCAAGACTACTCTGCAGTGCTTCACGTGTATATAATCAAACGGTTTGTTTTATACGTAATTTGCAAAACAGCTTTTAATCAAAAACCAAGAAAGTACTAATCTTAAAAGAAAATTATAATTCAAAGAGTAAAAACTTAAAATAAGATGTTATTGCATTAGACACTCGACTTTTACTTCTTTTTTCATAACATCACAATTTTATTTTTGCAAATGTAATTGTCAGTCTAAACTTTTATCATTTTTAGAATATTATACGTGCGATCTACTTTGCGGTGGAAAATTTAGTATCCGTTTTAGTCTGCTTAATGTCAATTTGAAGTGTATTGTTTGCATGCGATTCTTTCTTATCTGAGAAGTCATTTGGTAATTAGATGTAAACTGATATTGTTACATGTATGGCTTTTGTACCATCTAATCTCTTCCTTTCAGGACACAACTGGATCCGCCGGTCACGGGGGTTTTGTATCATGGCCCTGGGGATGGCACTTCTGACGGTGGTCCTCATTCTTCTGTGTCTGTTCCTCTCGATCGCTGCTGACATGCTGCTCACCCATGTCATGACTCTCCTCACCAGCATTCTCTCAGGTAACATCTACTATTGTATGGTCTTCACTACTTTTGTCAATGAAACATATGGAAATAACGAACAGTATTCAAGATCAAAATACATAAAACAATACGAAACAGGAGCAGAGCAAACACGGATCTCCAAAACATCGGAAATGGGATCAGGTGCCCTGCTGACCGATTAAGTCTTACAATCATATTATCTTAGATAACTCAGATAGAAAAAAACCTTCAGTTTATATTTTCGCCAGTTTTTAAATCATCGAAGCATTATAATGATCAAATTCTTTTTTCAGTGGGCAGCATAGCGGTGGGTATCCTCATCTTTACCACCAATCACACAAAGCTGGATGAGCACACGATGTTCAATAACATGGGCATGTTTCAGATGTTAGTTTCTAAAGTATCCTGGGCATGTTGGCTTAGTGCCAGCGCTATCCCATCGGCAGCCATGACAGTTATCTTCTTGGGACTTAATTTAGTGTTTTTCTAACTTAAATGCTACTTTGTACTTTATGTTGCTCAGTTACTTTTGATGTTTACAATGAGTACATGAGGTAGATGGTAAGAATTTGGACGCATAACTGTAATGCATTTAAGTATTGGTTATTCTCAACATTTTTGAATTAAAATATGCATAAATTAGTAAAACAAAAGACATCGAACCACTCTGTTCCTGGGTCTTAAATTGTGAGGGTAGGGTACTACCTCATTTAAGGATTTTTTCCAAGTTATGTTTTTCTGCAAATGGTATTCGAAAAATCTTAGCCATTTACGTTTTTAGATGAAAAAAGTAAGCTCTTCTCCGTATGAAAAGTAAGAACTCATATCGTTGGCTAAACTTTTATTCTAAGTGTTCTATAAACCCTATTTTGGAGATTGGGTTTAAAATGATATATTTGGAGGAAAATTAATTGGCTAAAAATCATATCTGACCACAAACCATGGAAATTTTCTTTACTATCATACTATGCATAAAGCACTTAAAATGACCAACAATAAGCACAGAGATGTTAATATTTCTTAGATTTTGTCCCTTCTTTAGTCGAAGTAAGGATTAGAAAGACATAAAATTAAAACAAAAGAAACGGAAGGTCAAAAACTACTTGTGATGCAATAAACAACTAAACGATTAAACTTAGTATTTTACAAAATTATTTAAAAAGTGATAAAATAATTTTGACCTTTAAGTAAAACTCACTGTTTATCAAGTGAAGTCATACTGTAAATGATAAAGAAATATTTTGAAAGATACCGAGTAGTTAAATTAAAAAAAAATATGGAATAATGTTTTTGAAAAATGAAAGAAAAAAAAAAGATTTTGAATGTGATGAAAATATCATATGAGAAAACAACAGTATAAGATATAACAATAAAGTAAAAACTGTTTTTGACAATGTGGATCAACCATTTAATAAGGAGAAAAGTTTTGTGTCAAAACAGGAATTAGGTCGTTCATTGTAAAGTTCATTATTAATTTCATTAAGTTTGTTAATACAGGTACGAAAACGTTCAGGGGAAATGTCTAAGCTTTGTCAAGAACTCTTCCTTGTTTTTTCTTTGAGCGTTTGTCCATCTTGGGTTATGGGTAAATATTCACTGTACTGCCATGTCCTCCCATTTATAACCTTTTGAAGTTGAATCGTTCCCTGACTATTTCACTGTCTTTCTTAGTCTTAATGATGAACGATGATTATTGACTCTTCTGCAGAAAAGTTCCCGTTTCTCCGACATACTTTTTCGTCAAACCCTTACAGCTGATGAGATATCTGCAATTGTCAGTTTGACAGGCAAAAGTTCTTAATATTCTGTAGCAGAGGCCAGTTATGTGGTCATTAAAATGTTATTGAGAGGGTGGGCAATGCTTGTAGAGAAGACATAAGTCAGAACAAGTGTAAAACCTCCGTTAGGTTATTCAGTAGGATTATTAAATCTGGTTTTAACTACCATGTCATTTACTTTCCTCAGACTTATACAGGCAGCCCAACAGAGGTTCCATTAAAACACGTTGCAAGAAAAAAATCTTATAATTTAGAGGTTGCTTTCAATACAAATAAATCCCACAGTGCATGGATGAAACATATAGAAATAAGGAACATTATTCAAGATCAAAAGTCCACAAAACAATACACAAGACGGGAGCAGATCAAACACGGATCTCCAAAACATCAGAGATGGGCTCGGGTGCCATGGAGGAGTGAGCATCCCCTGCTGCCGGTCACAACCGCCGTGTGCTCCTTGTCATGATCGGAAAATGACGGGAAAATCCGTCGTCGATTCAGTGTATAAATAATGGACTAACAATTCTTATGAAAAACGTCAGTCAGCATTTGACTCAATGATAAATTGAATTTGCTGACAAGGTCATTGTAACGACCATAGAACGTACGAAATGATGACTTTAAACGAGACTGGACTGCTGATATTCTTGTATCATCAACTTGTTTGACAATAATTTACCCCGTTTTAGAAATTGTTCATACGTAGAGCATGCTCTTGCGTATCAAATCAACTGAGATATATAATCTCCGTTTGCAGGTGATGGCATATTGCTGCATAAGTAAGGGAAGTTGACGATATAAAAGTTACTTAAAGTCATCACATTTATCACAGAGCTTGGTTGTTAGATTACTATTAATGTCTTTTTCAAGAAAAATATCCAAATACAAAACAGATGTGTCACACTCTGTGGTATATTTTATCAAGCTCACCAGGATATATCGTATCGACATAAGAATGGAAATTATCATTGTTAATTGACAATACGTTATATCTAGATGTCGAGTTGAAAGCCACAGCAATTATTTTCTTCTTTTCACGTATAAGATTTTGCACAAATTCTGCTTCATGTGAGTACAAAATAGGTTTGCTAATAACGGAGCGCAATTGATACCCATGGGAATTCCAACAGATTGAAGACCTGGTCTCAAAAACGACATTGATATTGTCAATCAGAAACTCAAGCATCTTTTTGATTTAAACTTCAGGGAAATTGTGTGTACAATCAGATGTTTTTTTAATATAAAATAATTTTGCAAATGACCAATGGCAAGGTAAGTAAAACGATTTCCATATGTATTGAAAAAGCAGCTATATCAATAAGCCTGGACTTGAATTTCTCGAACAATTGAAAAATAATTCTCGAGTGTGTTCATGTTCTTTATCACCTACAACTATAGTCCTGCAACTAATTTTACACATGTACAAGGTTTAAACCTTGGTTATTCAAGTGTGGTCAAAATTTTTAAATATTATTTTGAATTCTTTAGTCTACTACGCAGACAATACTGTATGGGCCAAACATTACAAGATCTTGGTAATTAGACAGAATTGATTTAATTTAAAGTATCAAATAAATGTTGAAATCTTGAATCCAGCTATTGAGGGGAAATTTAAAACCATAAACCTTTCTGCCTTTAATAAACAAGGAGGGGTAAAGCAGTTATATACCGATTACAGCTGATAAAGCACGTAACGATATTGCTTTTATTTGCCAAGCTCATTTTTTTCATTGTATATTGGAGGAACAGTTTTTTTTCCTGCGAATGGTAATCCAGCTTATACCCATAGCTCCCTTTTAAAAGTGAGAAATCTCTAAAATCATGTATCAGTTTTAAATATTTTTTTTTCCATATTTACAACAATTTAATTGAATTTGAATAACCATACCTATACTAAATTTTAAAAAAATACTCCATAGAAATGCTTAGAAACACTGATACATAGCAGATTTCATGAAAATGAAGCAAATAAATTTCATTACCTTATAACTGGTCATCAGCAAAATAATTTAAAAAAAAAATTCTGATTGTACTCTGAAGCTGATATAAAAATATACTTGGGTTTCTGATTGACAACATCTACGTAGTTACAGGGAGTTAAGTCTCCCAACATTCTATCGAAATTCTAATGGGTACCAATGTTAACGTATTACTGTCAGACCTATTTTTTTTTTTATTCATGTAAAGTATAATTTATTCAAATAGTTATGGCCTTCAACTCGACATTTAAATATTGACGACATATTATCAATCAACAATAGTTATCATTCTAATGCCGACTCTATGTATCCAAGTGAACTTGAAAAAAGATATCACAGGATCTGACCTGTTTCACCTGTTTCATTTATAGATATTTTACTCAAAAGAAAAGACTTAAGAAATAAACATTGGTCATTTTTAATGCAAAATGTATACCTATAACATAATTGTTAAATATAATATCTACATGCATCTTGTTTGATCTGCCATTAATATTTGTAAACAAAATTATTATGCATGAAGAGATGTAACCTACTATTGAGAGTACTTATCAATGCAAAAGTAAAACAATCTTTTTTGAAAAGCCTCTAGCTACTGAGTATTACTGATACCTTATATAGTTGATTTTTATATCAAATGATTTATTAATTAAAAGTTCAATGTTTTCACATGTAGCTAACCTATATTTAAATTTTTGAAAATCGGGCCAAATTTGTAATATCAATTTGAAAATGTGGATACTCTTTGGAAAATACATTTAGGAAATTATAAGCTACATATTATGACTTTTTGAAAGTCCTCTGTGTCCTAGTAGTCCTATTGGACTGAAAATTACGGATAAATAACATATTCAAACATCTTTGCTTGAATAGGTGCCTTTTTTCTATACCAAAATGATAATTTTTCAGTAAAATTACTCTACCTATGTCAAAACCGCACACTTAGGCGGAAAAAAAAATTTGTAATTTGAAAGTTTGGTATAATTCTTGAAAAGATTACACTGAGTCCTATGATAATTCAAATCAATATACAATTTAGAAACAATTACAGATGATTTGGCGAGAGACATATTGTTTGCATTAGCCCTCTCCCTTACCCAGACCTAAACTTTTTATATTTGAATTTGTGCTTTTCGATGTTTTCTCTGTAACTCTGCGATTTTAATTGTATGTTTGATTTTATTCTTAAGATAGACATGCAGCGTTACTTTAAGAATTATTGAAACCCTTTCCCCCTTTTAATTTATGTTTAATAATTTGCAATGATCAAAAAAGTTGTAATTAAATCATTACTGAATTTTGCTAGGAAATTTTGATTCCATATTTTTCAACAACCTCGTTTAAAGTCAGTATTTTCAATGTTTGCTTTAGGACCGCTTCAGTAAATAAGCCTATTCTAAATTTCCTACAGATTTTTCCGTCAATCTGATCAAAACATAGAGCTCACGTGTGTGGGATTGGTCGCCAGGGATGCTTATTCATTCTAGGCACCCAATTAAACCTCTTGAATTTCAAAAAATCAGTATTTTCATCCGTGTTTACAGATGCGTACTGTTTATAAGATTTTTTTAATCAATAGATTTAATTTCACTTGTATCATTTCAATTTTCACAAATTAATCTTCCAAAAAGGAATGTTATCTATCAATTGATGATATTAATTCAAATGGTATAAAAAGCAGTTGACATACATATGGAGAGAAAATATGTGTTATATTCATTGATAAGAACACTTAATATTAAATTATTCGTCTGAGATTATGAAAAACAATTACATGATATCATGAAAATTATACA